CTGGTCCTCCTTGGGGACCAGCTGGGGCAGGCAGGAGCAGGGTCCTGGTATGGGTATGATGCCTCTGGATGCTCAGATCAATCTTTGGGGCTGAGGAGGAAGGGGGGTGTTATCCTGCCCAGCACCCAGCAGTGGAGACACATGTTTAAGGAAAGATCTGCCAGACCTTTGGTGGTCTGCACCCTTCTGCAGGGACGTTTGGGAACAGGGACCCCATGTGAGTAGTTGGAAGTAAGAGGGATCCCTGTATGCAAGAGGCAGGGATGTGCATGTCTGAGAGCGGGTGAGGAGCAGCACCAGGCTGCTGGGGGAAAAGCAGGGTTTTCCACAGCTACTCATGAGCCTAAAGGAAAAGCAGGTGCTTCTGGAGTCACCCCCTGACTGGTGGAGCAGCAGCAGCTGCTGTGCTTGTTTGTCTCACTTTAAATCCTTCATTGTGCTCTGTGTTTTGTCTCCCCTCCCACTTGGCAGCTGAGGATGGAGTATCTGTCTCTGATGCACGCCATCATCCGCTCCACGGCCTATCTGCAGCACCAGCACCGCCTCTCCGACCTGCAGGGCATCCTGCAGCGCATCCTGGGCGAGGAGGAGGAGGACCAGCAGTGCCAGATGGACAAACTCATCATCCTGGAGATCTATAAAGAGTTCCCAGAAATCTCTCCTGGTACCAGCTAACCGCCCCTCGGCTTGGACTGGAGCCTGAACCACTTGGATCAACGACGTCTCTTGTTGACACTTTCTCCCCATTCCCTTCAGTACAGCTCATACCTTGTACCCCTCCCTGCGAGGCCTAAGGTTGGGACAGTGTTCACCAGCCCTTTAGCAAGGCCAGTGGCAGAAAGGGCCCGGGGTGCCCCGGGGCTGGTGCCTGGGGAGGCTGGAGCACGGCGGGTGCTGGTGGTGCTCGGGCAGCTGGTGATGGTGGGAAGGGCAGTGAGTGTGAGGGACGTGGCAGTGGGGGTGTTTGGCTGTGCTGCTGTCCCAAGGTCCCGAAGAGAAAGGCCTTTGCCTTAGAGCATCACTTCTTTTCCATGTGCATCTCTCCCTGCAGTGACCAAGTGGAGTCTGCTGGTGCTTGGAAGAAGCTTCCGTAACATCTGTTCTGTTTGCTGCTGTGGTGCCAATGTGCTGCCGCCCTGCCAAAGGGGAGCAGCCCGCTCGCTGTCTGATGCCTCGTGTAGTGAGCCTTCCCCCTCCCGGCCCGCAGCGTTGCCTCTGGGTAGCAGCTCGCCTAGGGCCAGCGGATCTTACCCCAGCAGCTGCTTTTCGATCTGCTTTCTATAGTGCTGTTTAACCGAGGTCCTTGCACCCTGTGGCAGCCTCCAGTGACGACCACGCAGGTGCCGCTGCCCTGGGGAGGCCACTGGCCTGGGCCATGTCCTGCCAAGCAAAGGCTGCTGCTTGCCCCCTCTCTGGCAGTGTGGCCCTGGATGGGCAGCGTGGCCCTGGATGGGCAATGCACTCTGCTCTGTGGGCTTTGCTTCATCACAGCTCTGCCTCAGTGTCCGCCCGCCGCGTGGCAGCGCTCAGAGGCAGCGTCAGCCTCGTGTCCAGTAGCTGTTTGTGACCGTGCACGAGTGTGGGGAACCCTTATTTATATTCCCTCTAGGTTTCTAGCAAGCGGGATTAACCTGTCTCCCCGTTACACGCACTAACGTGGGTCTCTTAGCTATTCATGTGCGCAGTCTGGTCAAGCCCTGTCCCTAGCTCTTCCTTTACAGTACCCGGTGTAGGAGCTATTGGAAAGTGGAACTGGAAATGCTGGGCACTGTGTTGTTTTAGCTTGAGGTGATCCCTGAGCTCTGCTCTGCAGCCTGGGCTGTAGCGCTGGGGCAGGGATGCTCAGGAGCAGAGGGGTTGGCCTGGCACTTAGGGGGGTGAGGCCCTGGTGAAGGCAGCCTGGCAGTGCCCAAGCTCAATAACACCCTCGTAGAGAAACCTATTTTTCCCTTGTAAAAATGTATGAATGTCAAAACGGATCCTGTATTTTCTTAAACACTCGGTGTAACACGCAGAGGAATAAAATGTCTTTAACCGGAGTTGTGTGAGCATAGCCCTGCCTGCCTCTGCCAGCGGGACTGATGTGGATGGGTGCTTGCAGCCCCAAAGGCAATGCTGTGGGTGCCGATCTCGAACAGGAGGCAGTGGGCAAGAGCAGGGCTGTATGTGCTGGGTGCAGGCTGTGACCCATTCATGCAGCTGCCAGCAGGAATGGAGCCAGGGCTGTGTCCCAGACCCAGTGTCTCTTGGGTCAGGCTGCACCCATGGGGAACAGTGTACACGAAGTGCTTGTGGGTGCTCCCCCTGTGGGGCTCTCCTGTGCCCCCTTGCTTGGCTGCACATCCCCTGGGCTAACCTCAGCTTGCTCTGGGTGCTGCTTGTGCTTGTGTTGGCTAGTGCCCGGCTGCAGGGGTGGCATGTGTCTGGCACTTGCCCTCAGTGGCACTGCCCAGGCTTTTCTGCGCCAGGCTGGGGTGAGCCCAGGAGCAGGCAGGATCCATGGCTCTGGGAGCCAGGAGCACGGCCTGGCAAAGCCTCCTGTGACAGTGCCCTGATGGGGCAGAGCTGGTGGCCCCTTCTGCATCCCTGGGTGTGCTCAGCCCTGTCCCACCACACGGTGTGACCCCTCCTGCACCCTGGCTGAGCTGCGCCTCCTCCCGGGAAAGGGGCGATGCAGGGAGCTGAACGGCAGCGTTATCCCTGAGGATGCTTGGTGGCTCCTGCTCTGTGCGTGGGTGACAGGCACGGCTCACACACTGCGCTTCTGTTAGCTCTAATAAGCCTTTATTAAAGCAGCATCTCCTGGTCTGGATGTGTTTTGTTGCACAGCACTAAGGGGTGCTGGGGATGCTGGGGGGGAGTAATGCGCTGGCTGTGACCCCCACCTCTGCTTTATTGGCTGGAATGATTCAATTACAACTATTTTGTGGCAGCAATACCCCGATGATTTTCTCCTCCTCCACTGAGCTGTCACTCGGGTAATTACAACAAATACACATGAAAGCCTTCACCATGTTTTAAAAGTCTCACCCCTCTCCTGATTGGGTTTCTTGGTGGCAAATCCCCACTTTGAGGAGGTGGGATGGAGGATCCTGCCGGCGCCGGGGCTCGTGTGAAGCCGGCACCATCCTGCCACACGGATGCTTCAGCCATAAAACGTGCTCAGCTCAGGGGCAAGGATGAGCCCGGCCCCCCCCGCCCGCTCTGCCCACCCGGGTGATGGAGGTGGAAGGGAAACACCAGCCCTGCAGTGGAAGCCCGAGGCTCCGGCTGTGCGGACGGTGTAGGGTGGCTGGGGACCAGCCGGGCGTGCTGCAGACCCCGCTTCGTGCTCTTTTAGTTGCCACCCTGGGAGCGGGAGCCGCTTGCAGCCGAGCCCAGCTCAGCGGGCAGCAGCAGCGCTTCCCACCACCGTGCTTACACTGATGGTAACTGATAGGGGACCATCTGTCACCACCGGTAGGACCGGAGCTGCGGGAGCGCCGGCGGTGGCCGCGGGTGGGGGAACGCAGGCACAGGGGGCACTGGGCGCAGCGCCGGTGATGCCGGGACTCCGCGCTGCTGCAGCACCATGCGGGGTGCTGCGGAGGGCACCCCTCGAGGTCCGCAGCCCTGCTGTGCCCTGCGCTCAGCAAGGAGCCCGGTGTGAAGCGGTGCTGTTAACACCAGGGGTGCCGGTGGTGCCCAGCCCGGCTACGGTGCTGGCACGGGGGGGTCCCCTGCTCCCCAGCCAACACACCCCGACCACAGCCCACCCAGCACGGTGATGGGGAGCTCCTGCAGCCCCCGCGGGGCCGGGATGTGCATGGAGGCACGGTGTGGCCGGTGTACTCCCTACCCCATCCTCAATTCTCCCATCTCCCACATTTGCTCTATTTCCCTCCCTGCCGTGGCTCTTTCTTCCCCAGCCATCACACCTTGGGCTCTGCTCATCTTCCCAGGATACAGCCGAGGGTATCTCCTCCACTGAACGCTGATGAGGACCTAAACCCCCGTTATTCCTAAGCCTATTACAAGCTTCAGTGGATTAAGCTGTGATATTAGTTGACTGAGATCAAACCAACAGCAAAGTTGGAGGCTGATTGCGCTAATGAACCATTCCAATGCAAGGGCCCTAACCTGAACTTCCCTTGGAAAATCAGGTTTTATTTGTCATGGATGCTGGAAGAAAACCCTGCAGCTTGGAGCCCTCAGGAGGGCTGGGGGTGCCCGGTGAGGAGGAGCTCCCCATGACCCAGCTTCAGCGTGTGCTTGAGCACAGATCCCCCCCCCCCGTGTGTTAGGCTGCATGCCCAGAGCATGAGCAGCAGCTCAGGGAGGGGATCCTGCCCCCTCTGCTGTGCTCTGGGGAGACCTTAGAGCAGCTCCAGTGCCTGAAGGGGCTCCAGGAAACCTGGAGAGGGGCTTGGGACAAGGGCCTGTAGGGACAGGCCAAGGGGAATGGCTTGAACCTGCCCGAGGGGAGACTGAGCTGAGCTCTTAGGCAGAAGCTCTTCCCTGTGAGGGTGCTGAGGCGCTGGCACAGGGTGCCCAGAGAAGCTGTGGCTGCCCCATCCCTGGCAGTGCTCAAGGCCAGGTTGGACACAGGGGCTTGGAGCAAGCTGCTCCAGTGGAAGGGGTCCCTGCCCGTGGCAGGGGTTGGGACTGGTGGAGCGTTAAGGTCCCTTCAACCGAAACCAGGCTGGTGCTGGTTCTGTCGGCAGCGGGCACCAACCCCGCGGTCTCCTCTCGGCCGCTGCTGAAGCCGCCGGGCCCGGGGGGCCGCAGCACAGGGACGGTGCGGCCGCTGCTAGTGCCGGTGCCCGCAGGGCCCCGGTCGCGGCGGGGCGGAGGCGCGGGGCTGCCCGCCCTCCTCAAGATGGCGGCGCGGGGCGGGCGGGGGCGCGGGGCGGGGCGGCGGGAGCCATGTTGGGGCTGCGGGAGGAGCCGCCGCCACCCCCGGCAGCCGCGGCGGCGGCGGCGCGGAGCGGAGCGGGCTGGGGGGCGGCACCGAGCCCAGCCGCCGAGCGCCGGGCCGGGGCGGCGGCCGCGGAGCCACCATGGCGGCGGAGGAGCCGGTGCCCGCCCCGAGCCGCCGGTGCCACCGCCGTCGTCCTCCTCCTCCTCCGCTGCTGCTGCCGCTGCTGCTGCTCCCTTTGTTCCCCCCCGGGCTGGGGGCCGCCGCTCCGCCGGCCAGCGGGGGCTGCCCCGCCGCAGAGCCGTGCTGGGCTCCGCCGGCGCCTCGCTGCCCGCCCCGCGCCGCCGCGCCGCGCCCGTCCCCATCCCCATCCCTGTCCCCATCCCCATTCCCATTCCCGGGGCGGCGGGGCCGGCGCGCAGCCCCCAACCGGCACCCGCTGTTCCCGCAGTACAACTACCAGGCGGAGGTGGCGGAGAACCAGCCGGCGGGCACGGCGGTGGTGGCGGTGGCCGCGCAGGACCCCGACGGCGGCGAGGCGGGGCGGCTCGTGTACTCCATGGACGCGCTGATGAACAGCCGGTCCCGGGAGCTCTTCAGCATCGACCCGCGGGCCGGGCTCATCACCACCACGCAGGCTCTGGACCGCGAGAGCATGGAGCTCCACTACTTCCGCGTGACGGCCGCCGACCACGGCGCACCCCGGCTCTCGGCCACCACCATGGTGGCCATCGCCGTGGCCGACCGCAACGACCACGACCCCGTCTTCGAGCAGGGCGAGTACCGGGAGACCATCCGGGAGAACGTGGAGGAGGGGTACCCCATCCTGCAGCTGCGGGCCACCGACGTCGACTCCCCGCCCAATGCCAACATCCGCTACCGCTTCGTCAATGAGCAGGCGGCACACGCCGTCTTCGAGATCGACCCGCGCTCCGGGCTCATCACCACCAGCGGGCCCGTGGACAGGGAGAAGATGGAGCGGTATTCCTTGGTGGTGGAGGCCAATGACCAGGGCAGGGAGCCAGGGCCCCGCTCCGCCACAGTCAAGGTCTACATCACGGTGCTTGACGAGAACGACAACACGCCTCAGTTCAGCGAGAAGCGCTACATCGTGCAGGTGAGGGAGGACGTACGGCCCCACACCGAGATCCTGCGCGTCACCGCCACCGACCTGGACAAGGACAACAACGCGCTGGTCCACTACAACATCATCAGCGGGAACAGCCGGGGCCAGTTCTCCATTGACAGCATCACTGGGGAGATCCAGGTGGTGGCCCCGCTGGATTTTGAGGTGGAGCGTGAATACGCCCTGAGGATCCGGGCGCAGGACGCGGGGCGCCCTCCCCTCTCCAACAACACCGGCATGGCCAGCATCCAGGTGGTGGACATCAACGACCATGCCCCTATTTTTGTCAGCACGCCTTTCCAGATCTCCGTCCTGGAGAACGCTCCCCTCGGCCACTCCGTCATCCACATCCAGGCAGTGGACGCGGACTACGGCGAGAACTCGCGCCTTGAGTACAAGCTGACGGGGGTCTCGGCTGACACACCGTTTGTGGTGAACAGTGCCACGGGGTGGATCACGGTCAGCGGGCCCTTGGACCGCGAGTCGGTCGAGCACTACTTTTTTGGGGTAGAGGCTCGGGACCACGGCTCCCCGTCTTTATCCGCCTCCGCCAGCGTCACCATTACCGTCATGGATGTCAATGATAACCGCCCCGAGTTCACCCAGAAGGAGTACTTCATCCGCCTGAATGAAGATGCAGCCGTGGGGACCAGCGTCCTCAGCGTCACAGCAGTCGACCGGGACGTGAACAGTGCCATCACCTACCAGATCACGGGAGGCAACACGCGGAACCGCTTCTCCATCAGCACGCAGGGCGGGACAGGGCTCATCACGCTGTCTCTGCCGCTGGACTACAAGCAGGAGAGGCGCTACGTGCTCACCGTGACGGCCTCTGATCGCACCCTGCGTGACAACTGCCATGTTCACATCAACATCACCGATGCCAACACGCACCGGCCGGTGTTCCAGAGCGCCCACTACTCTGTGAGCATCAACGAGGACCGGCCCGTGGGCAGCACCGTGGTGGTGATCAGCGCCACGGATGATGACGTGGGGGAAAACGCCCGCATCACTTACTATCTGGAAGACAACGTCCCTCAGTTCCGCATTGATCCGGACTCTGGGGCCATCACTCTCCAGGCAGAACTGGACTATGAGGACCAGGTCACGTACACGTTGGCTATCACTGCCAAGGACAACGGGATCCCCCAGAAAGCAGACACCACCTATGTTGAAATCATGGTGAACGATGTAAATGACAATGCTCCCCAGTTTGTGAGCCCTCACTACCAGGGCATGATCTCCGAGGACGCGCCTCCCTTCACCAGCGTGCTCCAGATCTCTGCCACGGACCGGGATGCCCACACCAACGGGCGAGTGCAGTACACCTTCCAGAACGGGGAGGATGGGGATGGAGACTTCACCATCGAGCCCACCTCGGGCATCATTCGCACCGTCCGCAGGCTGGACCGCGAGAACGTTCCTGTCTACGAGCTGACAGCGTACGCGGTGGACAGGGGCATCCCTCCTCAGCGCACTCCTGTCCACATCCAGGTCACCATTCAGGATGTGAATGACAATGCCCCTGTCTTCCCTGCTGAAGAGTTTGAGGTCTTGGTAAAGGAGAACAGCATTGTAGGGTCTGTCGTGGCTCAAATCACAGCCGTTGACCCGGATGAGGGACCCAATGCCCAGATCATGTACCAAATCGTGGAAGGCAACATCCCAGAGATATTCCAGATGGACATCTTTTCTGGGGAGCTCACAGCCTTGATAGACCTGGATTATGAGACAAAACCTGAGTACGTGATTGTAGTGCAGGCCACCTCTGCCCCTCTGGTCAGCAGAGCCACGGTCCACATCAAACTCATTGACCAGAATGACAACAGCCCCGTTCTCAAGAACTTCCAGATCCTGTTCAATAACTACGTGTCCAATAAGTCCAACACCTTCCCCTCGGGGGTCATAGGGAAGGTCCCAGCTTATGACCCGGATGCATCTGACCACCTCTTCTACACCTTTGAGCGGGGAAATGAACTGCACTTGTTGATTGTCAATCAGTCGAGCGGGGAGCTGAGGCTGAGCCGTCAGCTGGACAACAACCGGCCGCTCGTGGCCTCCATGCTGGTCACTGTCACAGGTAGGGTGTGAAAACCATCCCATCGTTACACCCTGAGTGCAGAACCCTCAGGGGGGTCTGTTCTGCATTGAGGGGGGGTGGGCTGGCGGCTGGCAGCAAGATTTGGGTTGGAATCCCCTTCCGATGGGGGATAATCCTGGAGGGGCTGGGAAGCAGTGGGAGCTGCTGGGGAGCACTGTGTGAGGGGGCCGAGGCCGGAGGTGGTCTGCAAGAACAAAGCACCATTGCTGAGCTGTGAGGATGGCTTGTAGCTGCTCCCAATGCACCTTTGAGGCTGCTGTCTCCAGTGAGGCTGTGGCGTGGCTGCAGGGTGCTGGCCGGGCACGCAGCCGGTGCCGCGGTGGCCAAGCTGCGGGGCTGGGGGCTGCCAACAGCGCTTGTGTCCCAGGCCTGGTGGCTCTTGTCCCTTCTGGGACCGGCTGTGCTGGGGAGGGAGCCCCTCACAAACACCCATGTGCTGGCAGCAAACGGTTCTGTCCCGGTTCTGGCTGCGGTGCGTGCCGGCACCGGTGCTTTGTGCTGCGGCCTCAGACCTGGCACCACCTTCCTGCAGCCATCTGAGTGCTGCGAGGGGCAGCTGTGACCAACCCCGCAGCACCGCGCTTGGAGCTCTCGTGTCGTGTGTGTTGCTGGAGTATCCCAGTGCGGGTGAGTGATGGCTTTGGGGGGCGTTGGGGTCCCCTTCGGATGCACTGAGGGGCTGTGTGTGAGCAGGTGGGGTTGGGACCTGCAGCTCCCCATTGCCTGATGCCTTCACACGAGCCTTTCTTTGCTCGTGGATGCGTGATCTGAAATGGAGGCGGCCGGCTGGCCATCGCTGAACCGAGGAGCGGCTCTGGGGGAGGGCAGGAGCCCTCCCTGAAGGGGCCAGCGCTGAATTACCTGGGGAGCCTTAAGCTGTAGAGCTCCCCTGTCTTCAGCTCCCAGCTGCCCTCCCCTTTCCCTCTCTATCCACTCATTCAGCAAGGGGAGGATTCCCTTCCAAACGTGTCCAAAACCAATCTGGCAATCTGTTCCAAAACCAGTCTGGCACTGGCTTGGGGCTCTTTGGGGGTTGTGACTGCAGGGCTGGCTGAGACACGCACTTGCCCATCGCTAGAGATGGGGTGTTTGACCCATCCATCCCCTGCCCTGTGTGCTCAGGCAAGCCCTGCCTCCTTGCACACTTAACCCTGCACAAAGGCAGGAGACAATCGCATCCCGAAGTCCTGCGCCGAGGGGGCCTTGCAGTTAGAGTGTCGTCATCTTCCAGCGGGAAAGGCAGCTGAGAGAGGTGTGCTGGTGATGGGGGAGAACATGGAAGGGGAAGAGCTGTCCTGGGGAGGGAAGCGAGACACTGGGAAAGGGGCCTTTTGTTGGCCCTGGTGCTGCTGGGGAGGTGGAGGCTGCTTTGGTGGCTGCTGCTGTTGTTTGCACCCCCCCGTGCAGCCAGCAGCCCCATGGCCCCGCACTGGTGTTGGGTGCAGAGGGGCTTTGCAGGGCTGGTGGCCAGGACATCAGAACCGGCTGCATTGTTTGCCTGCACAGCACCAGCACCTTCCTCCTGCAGTAGGGCAACAATAGCCCCAAGGGTCGGCACCCAAGGAGGGGGCAGCTTCTGTGCCTGTCTGTGAGCTTTATGGTCCCTTTGAGGGCGGCTGGATCTGCCTAAAGCAGGGCAAGGGGGCTGTGAGCAGTGTGTGTCCTCAGCTCAGCCCCTTGCTGGAAGCAGAAAGACTTGGGCCAGATGTGGCTTGGAGCACCCTGCTCTAGTGGAAGGTGTCCCTGCCTGTAGCAGGGGTTGGAGCTGGGTGAGCTTTAAGGTCCCTTCAACAGAAACCACTCTGGGATTCCATGGTCACAAACCAGTTCCTTTCTGGAGGGACTGAAAACCTCAAAACTGACCCCAGTTCCTTGCTGGTGCGTAGGCACCTATGGCTGTTAAAAGGGTCTCTTGGCCACTCAGGATGCAAGGCAGAGGTGGTGGGGCTGTGTCCATGGCCGCAGCACACTGAAATGGGGGCATTGTAGGAAGCTGCCATCGTGTTGACTTTAAACCATCCCAGCCTGGTTTCGCTGGGCCAGGCTGGTGGCAGGGGGGAGGCTCAGCTCTGGTTGTTGCCTTGGCCCTGCTCCCCTCAAGCTCTCTGTGCACAGCTCAAAGGCTTGCCCTGAGAAGGGGACCCGCATGTCCCAGTTACCTCACCTGAATCCCAGCCTGCAGGGAGGACTCACCCAGAGCACGTCCTGGCTCCTGGAGCTGAGCACATCGGAGCTGTCTTTTCAGGCCAGGTGAGGCTCCCAGGGCTGCCCTGGCCTTTCCCAACCTGTGTGCCTCTCCTCCCGTGAGGGACTCACTCCAGGGAGCTTCCTCCCCTCTTGGGTCCATCACAGCCGGAGGTGCGGACCCCAGTTTGGGTGCGAGACTCAAGGCTTTCCAGTCCTGGCTAGGACATGGGTCTGGAGTTGTCTTGGGTATTGAGTCTTTGAGCTGCCAGGAGGGTGACATTTGTGCTCTGTGGGAGTGATTTACGTTTGAGATCTCTTAACCTGTCAAGTGCCATCAGCCTTGAGAGGTCTGCCCAAGCCCTTTGGAGGCACTGGGCACTGCTCACCTTCCCGTGCCTGTCTCCTCCTTTCCCAGCTTTTCCTCTGGGGATGTTTCACTGCTCCTCAGCTGCAGATGTGAGCGCTGCCCCTGCCTGTCCCAGAGGCCATCACCACCCTGGGGTGTCCCGGGGGATGCAGGGGCTGTCACTGTCGGATGCAGGCTCTGCTGCCCGGCACATGCAGGGGATCATGCACCAGGGCCTGTCTCTGAGCTCCTGGTCCCTGCAGGTGAGGGGCAGGGGTGCATCCCCTCCGGGTCAGGACCTGTTTGAGCTGCGTTGCTGCCTGCCCCATCCCTGGAGCTCCCTGTGAGCCTGGAGGCCGAGGTGTTTGCTGCAGGGGATGGGGAGCCTCTGCCAGCTGCAGGGGGGCTCTCAGGGTGGGAGCGTTGGCTGGAGCCCGTGCCTGGTGCTGCCCAGGGTCTGGAGAGCTTCTGGCAGCACGGGGGGACAGGAGAGGTGGGCTCCTGCCCTGGCAGACCCAGCACAGCGCTGGGCAGCAGATGGCAGCCCTGCTCTCCCCAGGAGGCCTCCAGTGCAGACCCAGAGCTCCGGTCCCATGGGCAGGCAGCTCCCAGGAGGAGTCTGCTGCCTGTCCCCTTCTGTCCAGAGCTCTTCCTTCTGCAGGTTCCCTGCTGCTGAAGCTGGTTGCTGTCAGTTGTGGAAGTGCAAACACGATGCCTCGGTGCTCCCCAGCCCCTCGTGTCCCCTCTCCCTGCTCCTTTCCCTGTAGGCATGTTTCCAGGGCTCTGCTGCATGAATATTCGCCAGACACCAGCTCTCTGGCCCCAGGATTTAATCAGAAAGGCTGAGCAGTCGCGATGACAATGCCTCCCAGGGGGGTCAGTGCCTCCAGCCAGCTTTGGGTTTGCCTTTGGTAGCTTCCTCCTGCCATTTGCAGCAGGTCATTCTCTAACCATCTGCTTCGCCTTGCACGGAGCCAGCCCTGGGTGTGATGCTGTGATGGGGCAGGGTTGTATGGGGGAGCTGTGGGGCCGGGGCTGGCTGCACGCTGCAGTGGGGAGTGGGGAAAGGGGTGCTCGGTGCCATGGGCTAGGCAATGCCAAGGGTGCTGGGCACCCTGCAGCCCACCTTCCCCAGCCACAGCCTCCTTGCACTGGGTGGCGTTGCTGGCCTCCAGCCTGCTCCAGCGCTCAGCATTGTGCCAGCCGAAGCCTAATGGGAGCCATAAATCAGGCAGATGTCTGCTTGCCTATTGCTGGGCGCTCGGCAGCCCCTGGGGAGGGCGAGAGCTGTCCCCTGGGCCTCTGGGCTGCTTCCACGTGAAGCAGGAGCTCAGGGAGCAGAGGAAGGGGTCTCTGGGCTGAGCCGAACTCAGCCTTGCCTTAGCCAGAGGCAGAGTGCAAGGAGGGGACAAAGGGAGAGGAGATGGAGTGGGACGTGCACAGCTTCCTGGGCATCCCGGGGTGCTGCCTCGCCAGGCTCTGGGGTATGGGAGCATCTCCTGCCAAGTGCAGCTGAGCCAGGCTTGTGGCTCTCCCTGTGCTCCGGCCTCTTGCAGAGAGAGGGTGCCTCAGGGGTGCAGGTGGCGATGCTGGTTCCTTGTGCTGAGCCTGGGCAGCACAGAGCTCTTGGTGACTGCTCTCCTGCTGCCCTGCATTGGCAGAGCCAGCGCACCACCGAGGGGTGGTTTCTCACCTTGTTTCCATACGGGTTAGCAGCAGGTGGGTTTCAGAGAGGAGCGACCCCCCTTTTCCAGATCAGCTCCCGGGTGACTGTGCCAGCACCGCTGCTCCCCAGCCCCACACGAGCCTTATCTCCAGAGCTCCAGCCCCAGCGCTTGCATGGGAATTTGCGGGGTCACCAGAAAGCTGTCACCTTCTGAAGAGCAGAAGAGAGAGAGGGGGGAAAAGGGAGATATTTCAGTCCTTAAATCCTCCTGCTCTGCGGGCTTCAAAAGGGCTGGGGGAAATCAAAGGCTTTGCAGCACAGCAGCCGTGGCAAGAGAGGAATAGCAAAGGCAGCTTTGCTCGTGAGGCTCGGAGGGGGGATCCTCCACAGCAGCAGGATCTGCTGGCCTTGGAGCTGGGTAAGTGGGTGAGGTGAAGCAGGGGAATGGCTGAGCTGCTGCCATGAGGCTGTGCCGTGTCCTGTGTCTGCAGCCTGACTGCCAGCACATGAGTGTGCCTGATGTGGGGCTGGGATGCTGCTCAGGGTCACGGTCCAGGGAGAGAGCAGGCTCCAAGTGTGCTCCTGTGCCCGGGAGATGGCTCCCATGGGACAGGGTCCCAGGGGGAGGGAGCTGGTTTCCAAGCAAAATGAAGATGAAAGAGAATGAAACAAACCGGAGATGGGCTGAGGGAGGAAGAGATGCGGAGCAGATGGCGAGAAGGGGGGAAGCAGGGAGACAGGCACAAAAGCCTTGGAGACCCCAGAGGAGAAAGGAGGCAAACGGCAGGAGGAGAGTGGAGGGGAAGGCAAGCGGGGCAGGCAGACGGGGCGCAGCGGGGAAGCAAAACACCCCAGGCCCTGGCATTGGCTCCTGTGTTTGCCCAACCTCCTGCTGGGACCTCTTCTGCCTGTGTCTCCTGAGCACCTTTGTTCTGAGGGCTCAGTTTGCTGCCGAGATGCAGCACAGGGAGGAGACCCGAGAGACCTCAGAGTTCACTCAGTGGAGAGGCTGAAGGGAGGCAGAAGGTGCAGCCACACCGGTCGCTCCCCCTCCATCCCCAGTGGCAACACTATGGCTTCACACTTCCTTAGCCAAGGACTTGGGCCTTTTGGGGGCCACAGTGGGGCGCAGGGCTATGCCCTGGGGTGTGAGGGAGGAGACCCTCCAGGCAGCAGGCAACAACCTGCAGCGTGTCCCTGTTCCCTCCCGCAGATGGGATCCACAGCGTGACGGCCCAGTGCGTCCTGCGGGTGATCATCATCACGGAGGACATGCTGGCCAACAGCATCACGGTGCGGCTGGAGAACATGTGGCAGGAGCGCTTCCTCTCCCCGCTGCTGGCCACCTTCCTGGAAGGGGTGGCCACCGTGCTTGCGACGCCCAAAGAGGACATCTTCATCTTCAACATCCAGAACGACACGGACGTGGGAGGCACGGTGCTCAACGTCAGCTTCTCGGCGCTGGCGCCGCGGGGCGGGCGCTACCTCAGCTCGGAGGAGCTGCAGGAGCAGCTGTACATGAAGCGCATGGCGCTGACGGGCGCCTCCATGCTGGACGTGCTGCCCTTCGACGACAACGTCTGCCTGCGGGAGCCCTGCCAGAACTACATGAAGTGCATCTCCGTCCTCAAGTTCGACAGCTCGGCCCCCTTCATCGCCTCCCCATCCACCCTGTTCCGGCCCATCCACCCCATCGCCGGCCTGCGCTGCCGCTGCCCGCAGGGCTTCACCGGGGACTACTGCGAGACCGAGATCAACCTCTGCTACTCCAACCCCTGCCGCAACGGTGGGAGCTGCACCCGCAAGGAGGGGGGATACACGTGTGTCTGCCGCCAGCACTTCATGGGTGAGTGCCAGGGCACGGCCGGCGTGGCCCTCGGGGTGGCTGGTGCCATGGCGGGGTGCTGGGGCCCCTCTTTGTCTTCAGAGGCCCGGCTCTCTGTGTTTCCATGGCGCTGGATGCGCAGGGCTGAGGTTGCCATAGAAATCTGTCTTGCAGGGAGGTGGGATGGAGGGATCAGGGGGGGCCCCGGTGCCACCTCCCAGCCTTTCTCACAGAGCAGGACCCTGCCAGGGGCACAGGAGGCTCCTTGGCCCTGCCCCATGCTAGTGCTGGGCTCTGGGGCCATCAAGAGGTGCTGGTCTCAGCCTGTGCCAGCCTTCAGCTGGCCTGCAGAGGTGTGAAGCCCATGCTGGCCCCATGTGCGCTGGGGGAGCTGCTGCCCCCCCCAGAACAGAAGGGGAGGCTGGGCCCAGCTGCCCCACCAGGTGGGATCCGATCCGTGCGGATCTGGTCCCAGCCATGGCGTAATGCCTGGACCAGGCAGTGTCTTTTAGCCACAAGTCCCCAGCAGGCTGTGGAGACCCACGCCTGGCCACTGGGGACGGTGGGCTGTGGCTGCAGGGGGAGTGCAGCAGCAGATGGCTGCCTCGGAGCTGCTCTCCCATCGTGGTTCCTGGTGAGATAACAGAGTCAGTGGTAATTAACCCCCGGCATCTGAAGCATGAACAGCCATTAGCAGAAGGGTTAATGAGCTCGTTTCCCTGTCACTTCGTGCTGTGTCCTCATCCTCCTTTCATGCCATTGAGCAAGTAATGGGAGCAGGACCCTGGGGTGTAGGACTGTGGCTGAGGCTGAGAAGTTCTCTGTGTGGTGTGTGGGATGCTGAGCTGGTTTGGGACGTCCCTGGTGCCTACACCAGCGAGGTGCAGGGCTATTTGGTGTCCTCTCCTGGCTGGTTTCCTCTTGGCTTTTGCTCCTGCGTCAGAGCCTGCAGGGTTAGGTTAGGGTGGGTGAGACTTCCATAGCTCTTGGCAGGGGAGCTCAGTGGTGCTGGGCTGTGCCCGCACCCCAGAGCCAGGGCTGTGATGCCTGTCCCAGGCTGGCACAAGGAGGCACTCTCAGCATTGCCAGGACTTCCTGGCTTGTCCTTGCCTCTCCATCCTTAGGACTGCACACCCCAGCCATGCCCAGTCCCTTCCTGTCCCATTCCCATCCCATTCCCCTTCAGCCGAAGCTGGCAGTGCATCCAGCCCAGTCGCTTGTGCCGCAGTGCTGGCTTGCCCAGGGGGAGCCTTGGGTGACACCCGTGTTGTCACGTCCCTCTCTGGCTCCAGCTGCCCCAGACCTGGGGCATGGTTGGTGGGTGCAAGGCCCGCACTGGGGCAGGGGGTGCCGGGTGCTCACAGTGTCCACAGCTCTCATGTCTGTCCCGCAGGTGACAACTGTGAAGTGGACAGTCGCTCCGGGCGCTGCGCTCCCGGCGTGTGCCGCAACGGCGGCACCTGCACCAACGGCGCCGATGGCGGCTTCCGCTGCCAGTGCCCGGCGGGCGGCTTCGAGAGCCCCTTCTGCGAGGTGTCTGCGCGCTCCTTCCCACCGCGCTCCTTCGTCATGTTCCGGGGCCTGCGCCAGCGCTTCCACCTCACCCTCGCGCTCTCGTGAGTCCTCTCTTCCCTTGGCGCTCGTCCCGCCTTGCTCTGGTGCCTTTGGTGCCAGGCCAGGGCCTGGTTGATGCTCCCCACACCCCGGTGTTAGGAGCGTTGCCTCGGCTCGGGGCTGCCCTGGCTCTTTCAGCCGGAGGGCTCTGAATCTGCACTGGCACATCCCTGCCGCCCGCTCATGCCTTCCTTCAGTGTCTCATCCCTTCCCTGCTGCCAGCTCTCTGCCTCCATGCCAGACCCCCTGCTCCCACAGCACCCCTTAGATCAAGCTCCCAGCCCCTTCCCAGCTCAGTTTGCCCCCAGGGCCGGACCCAAGTCTCCCCCCGTCCCTGTGCTGGATGTGCGCAGGGTGGAGCGGGGATCCCTGCGTGCCCCTGGTACATGTTCTGCCCTCCTGCTTCCTCCCTGCCCCAGGTTCAGCACCGTGGAGCCCAGCGGCCTCCTGCTCTACAACGGGCGCCTGAACGAGCGGCACGACTTCCTGGCGGTGGAGATCATCCAGGGGCAGGTCCAGCTCAAGTACTCCACAGGTAGGCTTGGGGTGACCCCAAATCCCTGCCATGGGGTTTGTGCTGTGGGAGCTGTGAGGAGGCCATCGCAGAGCAGGCGAAGGAGGGTGCTGCCCTGGGTGGAGCCTGCGTTAAGGGAAACGGGTTGAGAGAGGTGCTGGTGAGTGTCAGTGCATGGGTGTCTGTCCCAGGACTTTCCCTGGGCTTAGGAATGCAAACACAGCAGTGGACTTGGGAGCACAAACCAGGACAAACCCTTCTGGTGCCTTTGCTGCCCTTTTGCCCCATTCTGTCACTGTGAGTTCCACCTCCTGCCTTGCTGTGAGCCAGTCTGGAGAGGAGGACCCTCTGGGGAGGGCAGTTGCTACCCGGTTGTTCCCATCTCTGCTCCTTTGTGCCCACACTGTGCCCCTCTTGCACCCATCCTGTCTGCCCCAAGGGGTGTAAGGCTCAGCTGCCAGGAGCACTGGGGCCTTGTGTTAACAACAGAGGCTTCCTTCCCATCCTGGGCGCTGCTCTCCTCCCTTGCACACAGCATTGGGTGGCCACTCTGCCACTGCTGCAGCTGGGCTGACTGGCAGGAGGGGGGATGCTGGGTGCCAGGACACGCTGGCAGTCAGCCTGGACACAGGAGCCATCGTGGATGCTGGCTGCTGGTCCCAGGGCTGTGACTCCCCCACCCCACTCCTGCTGCAAGGCCACAGCGAGCAGAGGCCGCTGTGCTGAGCTGTCTCCCTGAAACCCTGCTCCATCCCTGCATGAGGCTGCGGGGACCACTGCGGGCTTGGTGCTGTGGGAGAGCTCAGCTCACATCATCTCTGTCTGCAGGGGAGTCCAGCACGGTGGTGAGCCCCTACGTGCCAGGAGGTGTGAGTGATGGGCAGTGGCACACGCTGCAGCTCCGTTACTACAACAAGGTGTGTGTGCCGCGGCTGTCCCCCCACACGTGTGCACCCCGTGAGCAGATCTGGCTTTCCTGTTCTCTGGCTCTGCCCTGGAGAGAAGGCAGAGGTGGTTTTGAGCCCTTGGGGATGGGTGCAGTGGAGCAGGCAGCCAAGAGCAGTGGGTGATTGACCCTCAGGTTGTCCCTTGGGGCTGTCGGAGTCACCCAGTGTCACACGCCTGGCACTGTGTGCATGCCCATGTCCATAGAATCATAAAATAGTTCGGGTTGGAAAGGACCTTAAGATCATCAAGTTCCAACCCCCCTGCCATGGGCAGGGACACCTCGCTCTAAACCATATTACCCAAGGCCTCGTCCAACCTGGCCTTGAACACTGCCAGGGATGGAGCATTCACAACCTCCCTGGACAACCTGTTCCAGTGCCTCACCATCTCTGGCACTGTGCGCTGGCTTGGGCTCCTTCTGCTTCACGCACACCTCCAGCAGAGCAGTGAGGACTGGGCTGTGCTCAGGCCCCTTCCTTGCTGTGGTGGGAGCACTGGTGCTTGGGTCTGGGTGCGTTGCTAATGCCCTGCCTTGGGTTTCAGCCCAAGGTCAGCGCCCTGGGGGTGGTGCAGGGCCCCTCCAAGGACAAGGTGGCCATCGTGACAGTGGACGAGTGCGACGCCTCCGTGGCCCTGCAGTTCGGCAGCGAGATTGGGAACTACTCCTGTGCTGCAGAGGGGGTGCAGACCAGCTCCAAGAAGTGAGTTCCTTGGGGGCAGCTGGGCACTGCTGCAGTGGGGACACTGTTGTTGTGGTGCATCTGGGACCTTGCCTCTGTGTGCCTGTCCCTGAGGATGTCTGCTTCCCAGCCCTTGCCCTGGGGAGTGCTGGCCAGCCTGAGGTCACTGTGGATCTTACAGCCCTGGGCTTCTGTCCTTGGTAGGTCCCTGGACCTCACGGGTCCCTTGCTCCTTGGAGGGGTCCCCAACCTGCCAGAAAACTTCCCTGTCACTCACCGGGACTTTGTGGGATGCATGAGAGACCTGTACATCGACAGCAAACGCATCGACCTGGCCTCCTACATTGCCAACAACGGCACTGCTGCAGGTACCAGCACCTCTGCTCCTGCCAGCCCCTGTCCTGGGAACTGCCTTTCACTGCTGGGCTGTAACAGCATCATGGCAGCACAGCTGGAGCTGAGCAGCTTTCCATTGGAGAATTGGGCCTCCAGATCCCCCTAATCCCCAGTCCCCACCCCCACTAATGCCCTGAGAATGTCCCCTGATCCCTGCAGAGCCTGCAGGTCTAGCCTGTCATAAGGAGCAGCAACAGCCTTGACCCTCACCCCTGAGCAGGCAGGGCCTGTGCAGAGAGGCTGAGCAGCCAGGCTTGCCCCTCTGGCAGCCTGGAAAGGGCTGATAGGCAGTGCTGCCTCTCCTTGTGGGTCAGGGAGAGGTGGTGAGCAGAGTCTGACGTGGGTGACCTTGATTCCTCCAGGCTGCCATGCCAAGCACACCTTCTGCGACTCCAGCCCCTGCAAGAACGGTGGCACCTGCTCTGTCAGCTGGGGAACCTTCTCCTGCCTCTGCCCCGTGGGCTTCGGGGGCAAAGATTGTCGCTACCGTGAGTGCATAGGCAGGGGGTTGCGTGCAGGGATGTGCGGGGGCTGCTGTGGAAGCAGAGTAAGGGGTTCATGAGAGATGAACTTGCTCTGCTGTCCTGCACCTAGTGCTCATCCCTCCTCCTCACCTCCACTTTCCTTCCCAGCCATGCACCATGCCCACTACTTCCATGGCAACAGTGTCCTGACCTGGGACTTCAAGACGGATGTGAAGATCTCGGTGCCATGGTACCTGGGGCTGGCGTTTCGGACGCGCCAGCTGGATGGGGTCCTTCTGCAGGCCCACGCTGGCCAGTACACCACACTGCTCTGCCAGGTATGGCCTCAGCCACAGCACTGTGCCCCAGCCCAGGAGAGCAGGACCTTGCCCACCCTGCTGACCCCAGCCCCAGCAGAGGGTGGTTGCCCTCTGGGTTTCCCTCCCCGTGTTCAGAGGGAGGATAGGCTGGATGCAGGCGGAGTTGGCGATGCCTTGGCTCACAGCTGTGGTTCCCTCTCTGCAGCTGGCTGGAGGGCTGCTCTCTTTCGTGGTGAGCAGGGGCTCCGGGCGCAGCACCAGCCTCCTCCTGGACCAGCAGCAGCTCAGTGATGGGCGATGGCACGACCTGCAGCTGGAGCTGCGAGACGTCCGCAGCGGGCGAGACCTGCGCTATGTTATCACCCTCACCCTCGACTTCGGGCTCTACCAGGTAGGTGCTGCCTGAGACCCCTGCACCAGGACAGGAATTGTGTAGGATGCTTGGCATAAACAAGCCCCAGCACCCTTGGAGAGGGCTGGGGCAGAGCTTAATAGCACTCGTCCCATGTTAATGCCTTCCTTCTGCAGGACACGGTGGTGGTTGGAAATGAGCTGCATGGCCTGAAGGTGAAACATCTGCATGTGGGGGGAGTCCTGGGCTCTGGCGAGGTGCAGAATGGGCTGAGGGGCTGCATACAGGTGAGTCCGTGCTCTGAGCCTTCCCTTTCTATTGGCTCTGTTACATGGAGGGGTGGAAACATGGGTCCGTCCTGCTGGTGACACTCGCTCTGAGCATTCAAAGCTCTGAGGTGCCATGGGGCAGCCATAAAACTACACAGCAGGGTGATGGGGGATGGCTGCCTCTGTGGGTCTGTGGAGGGCAGGAGAACTGTAACCTGCTGTGTATGTCCTACCTCCCCATTGACTTTATGACCTGCATTGCAGGGTGTGCGACTGGGTGACAGTGTCACCGGGACGGTGCTGCCCAAGCCCAGCCATGCCCTGCGGGTGGAGGCTGGCTGCAGCGTGCCGAGCCCCTGCGACTCCAGCCCCTGCCCAGCCAACAGCATCTGCAAGGATGAGTGGCAGAGCTACTCCTGCGTCTGCCAGCCAGGTAGGGTGGGCAGCACCCTGCTACCCCTTGGCTCTGTGTGCTCCTTCCTCCCCACGGCTCCCTCCTGGCCTGTCACTGCTCTCTTGTCCCTCACCTGAGCAAGACACATCCCCATCAGACACTCATCAACTCTTCCGGAGGGCAGAGCCCCTCCTGAGTCCCTCAATCCACTCCTTGGTGCCCTGGCCCTTCTTGGGGGGGAAGGTGCCTGTTTACACCGTGCTCTCTGCCCCCCCCAGGGTACTACGGGTTGGACTGTGTGGATGTGTGTCACCTCAACCCCTGCAAGAACAAGTCCGTGTGTCGCCGCAAGCCAGGCTCACCCCTGGGCTACGTGTGCGAGTGCGGAGAGAACTTCTTTGGGCAGTACTGTGAGCACAGGTGAGATGTGGGGCATGGGGCAGGGCCATGGCTCTGTGACCAGGGACCTCTCGGTACCACCCGCTCCTTGGAGCAGCTGGGCTGGTGGGGAGGAGGCCGGGGGGGTTTGGTTGCTGTAACAGTGGGATTGTTTCTCTCCCCAGGATGGACCAGCAGTGTCCGAAGGGCTGGTGGGGGAACCCCACGTGCGGGCCCTGTAACTGTGATGTGAACAAGGGCTTTGACCCCGACTGCAATAAAACCAACGGGCAGTGCCACTGCAAGGTGAGGGGCACTGGAGACATGGGGACATGGCCTGTGGCTTTCCTGGAGCCCTGCTTGTCCTTGATGCTGTTCCTTGTGCCTTCCAAAGGCCTGGCAGCTGCCCAGGCCCTGCTTTGTGTGCCCACTTCTGAGCTGGGTCCCTGCTCAGCTCCTCTGGGGCTCTCCTGCCCTGGCTCAGTGGCAGTGGGGGCAGCTCAGGAGAGCCTGGCCCCTCTCTGCCCTGGCTCCAGCAGCTCCCTAGGCCTGCTGTCCCCATGGGTTGTCTGATGGCTGTCCCTGGCCCCCCAGGATTTCCACTACCGGCCCAAAGGCAGCGATACCTGCCTGCCCTGCGACTGCTACCCCGTGGGCTCCACCTCACGCTCCTGCGACAGGGAGTCGGGCCGGTGCCACTGCCGGCCCGGGGTCATCGGCCGCCAGTGCAATGGCTGCGACAGCCCCTTCGCCGAGGTGACACCCAGTGGGTGTGAGGGTGAGTGTGGGGACTGGGTGCAGGGGCTCGGTGTCAGTGAGCACCCCAGTGACAGCCCCTCGCCTGTGTGTCCCCACAGTGCTCTATGACGGCTGCCCCAAAAGCCTCAAGGCGGGTGTGTGGTGGCCCCAGACCAAGTTTGGCTTCTCGGCTGCAGTGCTGTGTCCCAAAGGCTCCTTGGGTGAGTGGGGGATGCGGTGGGGAGGGGGCAGCCTGGCTGTCCTACCAGGGGCTGTAACAGCCCCAGCAGTGTCTCTGTGCTGTCCCAGTCCCATTTAGCTGGGCTTGAGGGCTGGGAGAAGGAACTTGAAGATACCACAGCCTGGGGAGAGCAGAGAGGGCTGGGAACAGGCTGTGGGGTCTGTCACCCACCCCAGGACTGTGCCGTTCCCTTGGCCTTGGTCCCTACCTTCTCCCTGCTGGTTTTTGGTTTCGGAGGGCTTGAGGCTGGGGTCAGGCATCTCAGTGCCTGCAGTGCCTTGCTGCGGCTCCACCAGCCCCAGCCTCCGTGTGTGCTGCCAGGGAAGCAGGGCACAGCGTGCGTTAGGTGAGTGTCTGGGTAGGAGTCAGTGTCCCAGGCTGGAGGAGGCCGTCCCGGGTGACAGCAAGGGCACGAGCAGGGGTCTGGGGCTGTAGGGCAGTGCAAGCCCTTGGGGACAATACAAACGCTGTCCTTCTCCAGCCGCTCGCCCCGGGAGGAGGCAGGTTCGGCTCCTAACTGTTGTCGCTTCTCTCCCCGGTTCTCTCGCCCTCCGTGCTCAGGCTTGAGGGGTGCAGGTAAGGTTGTTCCCATCTCCTTCCCCCTGTGCTGTAAGGGCTGTGCCGTGTGCCTTTCCCCCCTGCTTCTGCCTGGCACCCTGCTCACCCCTGCGCTTTCCCCACCGCTTCTGGAGCTGCCGAGTGTCTTCCCAATGCCTTGCCTGGCCTCGCTGCTCCTCCACGCTGTTCCCTGCTCCCAGCACACTAACCAGCACAAACCTGGCTGCAGCTGCATGCAGCCCCTGCCACCCTCTGCTCTGAGCCTGCGGTGCTCTTCTCCCGCTTCAATGAGTCCTTCTCTGCTGGGCTAATACCTGCTTGCTTAGGCTGGGAGGGAAGGAGCTGGCCATGAGCAATGGGTGGTGGGGCCAAGGAGGAATGGCCGTGGGGTGAAGGAAAGGGGTTGCTTTTTGAGCAGGGGCAGGAACTGATGGTCGTGCACAACACAAGGTCCAGTGCCCTCTGCCCACTGGCAAGGGGGATAGAGGGACCTGGAGGCTGGATCCTGCCCAGGTCTGCAGCTGAGTTGGTCTCTGTTCCCTACTGATGCCTGCCCTTGCTGGGGGAAAGCCAGCAGTGGGGAGGTGTCTGTTCTCCCTGCTGCAATGGTCTCTGAGCTGCTGCAGCTGGGGAAGTGTGGTTGGGGAGGACAGGTAGGAGCTGGGTATGGTGGGGGGGGGGCACGCTGGTCACTGGGGCTTTTCTGAGCAGCAACAAGAGTGTGCTGCAGGCTCCCCCTCCCCGTCCTGGCCATGCTGCTGTCCTCCCCCAGCCGTGGTCCTGGGTGGGCTCCTGTGCCCTGCTGCCATCCCCAGGAGGTTCTGGTCCGAGTCCTGCTGGGTACACTGGGGTTCCTCGTGCTCCGAGTGTGCAGGGCGATGCTCCCAGCCCAGGACACTGCTCTGTGAGCTGGCTTTAGCAGTGCTTTGGTGGTGGTCAGTAGCTGTCCCTGTTTGTTGCTGGTGTCTCCATTGCTGTGTGGCAGCCCTTGGGCCCCAGCCAGGGGTCATCTATGGGGGGGGTTTGCCAGCTCCACAGCAGGCCTCTTGTCCTCTTCTGGTGATGTTGCCCTATAGAGAAGCAGGCCCTCAGCAGGCATTGCAGGCTGTCAGCAGGGGATGCCTGGAGCTGCATGGGCTTCACAAGTTCAGGGTAGGATGTGCCCTGGGGACACAGACACATCCCCAGGTAGGGACCAGGAGCTTCTCCAGCCTGAGCACTGCCAAGGCACTTGCTCCTCTGCAACTGTGTGTGATGCAGCCCAAAGGCTCGCAGAGGAACCCAGCTCCTGCAGTGAGCAGCTTGCCGAGGTGGTGCAGACCAAAGGTGAATGGGCTGTACTGGTGCAAAGCAGGACAATGGCCCTGAGGTGTTACAGGCCCTCCCCATCACTTGCTGGTGCTGCTCTTTGGGATTAGCTGGTGCAGAGGGTCCCTGTGGTGGGGGATGCAGAGGGGAGGCATCCATCCTATGCTGAACTTCCAACATGCCCTTTCTCCTGGTTCTAGGTGCAGCCGTCAGACACTGTGATGAGGAGAAGGGCTGGCTGGAGCCAGATCTCTTCAACTGCACATCACCTGCCTTCAAGGAGCTCTCCATGCTGGTAATCCTCTCTCTGTTTGTAGCCCTGGTGGAGCAGGAGCTCTATGAGCAAGGTTTCAAAGAGCTCAGCTTTCCTTGGGCACCTGGAGTAGGAGAGGGCCTTGCCACAGTGCCCAGCACCTTTCTCATCTGTCCCAAACGCATCATGTGGGAGCACTGAGCTGAGCTGAACTTCCCTTGGTTTCATCTAATCTGAGAGTCCCTGTCAGGAATGACCTGTGTCCTGGCCCTGTGTTTGAGAGGAACACACCTACTCCCTGAAGGCAGTTCAGCAGGGCTGGACTGTTTGGAGCTGGTTGGTGTCTGTTCCATGGGACATCTGTAGCCCCCAGACTCTGCCAGTGACAAATCCCTTTGAAACATCCAGGCAAGTTTATTGAACCCATGCACCAACTGTAACTGAAACCAGGAAAGCTGCAGGGAAGGAGCACTAGATGCTTGCCCTGGCCTTCCATCTCCTTGGCCCCAGTGCTGCACAGTGCTGGGTTAGCCGTGCCAGTGCAACCCTGGTGTGTTGCTGGAGATGCTCCCTGTTCTGGTGACCACCACTGAGAGCTTCAGAAATAACCCCTGGGTCTAGCAGTGCCTGCAGCCTCCCAGTTTCCCAGTGAGAAACCTGCTTAATGGTTTAATCCCTTCCTTTCACCCCACTGGCAGCTGGAGGGTTTGGAGAGGAACAAGACTGAGCTCAACACAATTGAAGCCAAGAAGCTGGCCCACCGGCTCCGGGCTGTGACTGACCACATGGACCATTACTTTGGGAATGATGTGCACATCACCTTCCGCCTGCTGTCCCGCCTCATGGCCTTTGAGAGCCAGCAGCGTGGCTTCGGCCTCACAGCCACACAGGATGCCCACTTCAACGAGGTGAGGCCTTCCCCAGACCACAGTGGCTTCTGCTGCTGCTTCTCTTCAACAGCCACCCTGAGCCTGGGTCTCTCGTGGGGCTCAGGATGTGACACCACATCAAGAGCACTGGGCTCTCCGGTGCCACACAGGCACTGTCCCACAGGAGTGACACCTCTGTGGCTGGGACTGGAGCACAAAGTGCATGAAGAGTAGCGGAGAGCTGGGTTTGTTCAACCTGGGAAGGCACAGGGAGGTCTTATTGCTGCCTGCACGTCCCTCGTGGCAGTGGTGCAGGGAAGGTGCCTCTGTAGAGTGCTGGTTGATGAGTGTTGAAGGTGGGGGTCTGCCATAGCAGAAAGTACCCCCTTCCCCTTGCCCTTGGGCAGGAAGCTGGGCAGGAGCAGAGCGCTGCAGCCTAGGGGTGGCCAGGAGGGGCCCAAGGGCAGCAGTTCCCTCCCTCCCTCCCTGTCCCTGCAGAACCTGCTGCGCGCCGGCAGCGCGGTGCTGGCGCTGGAGAACCGGGAGCACTGGGCCATGCTGCCGCACAGCGAGCACGGCAGCGCCAGCCTCATGGAGCAGCTGCGGGACTACTCGGGCACGCTGGCCAGCAACATGAAGCTCACCTACCTCAACCCTGTCGGCGTCGTCACCCCCAACATCAGTGAGTAGGAGCTGGCTGCTGGTGGGGCCCGGGTGGGGTGGTGCAGAGCTGCTCCTCCATCACACCCGTCCCCTTCTCAGTGCACTTCATCTCTGCGAGGGCTCTCTTGAACACGGGAGGTGTTTGTGAGAGGCATCCTGCTCCCATCCCTGCCTGCAGTAGCTGACACGCCACCAAGAGCCACCCACTCCCAGTTCCCTCCCAGTCTCAAGTGAAAAAACTCAGTGGCGGAAGGAGTCTGCCCTATGGCAGAGCAAGGACGTGGGCTGGGAAGGAGCCCTGTGGGTGCTGGGATTTCATGTCATGTGCAAACATGGGATGTATCCACAACCCAGCCTATGGCTCATATGGTCCCTTTGACCATGACTTCAAAAGCGGGGTGCCTTGGAGAGCGGTTGTCTCCAGGTGGCCATCCTGGAGCTGCCTTCCCTCCCCTGCTGCAGTGCTGAGCATCGACCGCATGGAGAACCGCTCCCACGTGCGCCGGCGCTACCCTCGCTACCACAGCAGCCTCTTCCGGGGCCAGCCCGCCTGGGACCCCCACACGCACGTCGTGCTGCCGCTGTCGGTGCTCAGCCCCCCGAAAGCCGAAGGTGAGCGTGTGAGCATCACTGGAGGAGCGGTGCGGGGGGGCATGGCTGGTGGGGAAGGTATAGAGTCATGGGATGGGTTGGGTTGGAAAAGTCATAGAATCATGGAATGGTTTGCATTGGAAAGGACCTTTAAAGGTCATTCAGTCTGCATGTACCCTGCTGAGACCTGAGAGGTCCACAGGCCACCTCTGAGGACTCAGAGCCTCTGATCTCACCCATCCCAAAGGCTCCTGCCAGCCTCACACATTGCCTTCACAGCAGCCTGTGTGTGTGTGTGTGTGTGTGTGTTCTCACCCCTCGGCTGTGTCCTCAGCTGCCCCCACAGCAGTGCCCACGGTGGCTGGGGGTGAAGGGAACTACACAGTGGAGAGCTCCTCCCCAGGGCAGGCGCTGCCGGAGCCCGAGCCTGCTCTCACCGTCATCATCCTCATCATGTACCGCACGCTGGGGGGGCTGCTGCCTGCGCGCTACCAGGTGGATCGCCGCAGTGTCAGGTACACCCTTCCTTGCCCTCAACAAACACCAGTGTAGAGGGGCCGCTGGGCTCTGCCCTGCTCCCCCAGCAGTGGCTGGGGTTTGGTTCCAGGCACTTGGCCCAGTGGTGCTCTGCCTGTTCCCACTTTGGTGTTGCTCAGCTCCATGTTTCCTGACCCCTCGGTGTGGCCTGGGCAGAACTGTTGCATCCGGGGTGCCCAGGAGTCCCTGAAAGTGACATCTCCAGGCACGCTGATGGCAGAGCCCCGTTGCTCCTTGCAGGCTCCCCAAGAATCCTGTGATGAACTCCCCCATCGTGAGCGTGTCCGTGTTCAGCAATCACACCTTCCTGCGGGGGCCCCTGGACACCCCTCTCGTGCTGGAGTTTCACCTGCTGGAGACGGCCAACAGGAGCAAACCTCTCTGTGTCCAGTGGAACCACTCCAACCCGTGAGTTGGGCATGGCAAGGCCACTCTTTGAGCTGCTTTCCCCAGGCCAAGTTGCGCTGGCCATGACAAGGCTGTGCATGGGTAGCACTGGGACGTGGGGTTTCTGCCCTCTGCCAGGGGTTCATTCCTGCTGGGAGGGCACAGTAGGATCACTGCAGAGCTCTGGCTCCAGTCCTTGAGCTGTAGGAGCACAGCTGTATCTACTGGTGGAGAATCCTTGCTATTCACCCCTCTTCTCTGCAGTTCATTCCCCTCACACCCTGCTCATCTGTGTTCTCTCCTCTCTGCTCTTTGGTGGCTGCAGGACCAACCCCTCTGGCTTCTGGACAGCCAGGGACTGCGAGCTCGTGTACCGAAACACCACACACGTGCACTGCCAGTGCTCCCAGTTTGGCACCTTTGGGGTTCTGATGGACAGCTCACACAGAGAGGTAACTCCGGCCTGAAGGGCTTGGAGGGGGCTGTTAGCCACTGAGGCCCGCAGGAAGCAGGCACAGGCAGAAAATTCCCTGTGGGACACAAGTAGAGTTTGGGAGCTCGGCAGTCTTCCCATGCCTCCCCCTAACACTGATGTTTGCCTTTGGTTCTCTGCTGCTGCAGCAACTGGAAGGTGACCTGGAGACATTGGCAATTGTCACCTATTCCTTGGTGTCTCTCTCCTTGGTGGCTCTGTTGCTGACCTTCTCCTTCCTGGCCTGCCTCAAAGGCCTCAAGTCCAACACACGTGGCATCCACTCCAACATCTCAGTCACCCTCTTCTTCTCTGAGCTGCTCTTTCTCCTGGGCATCAACCGCACTGAGAACCAGGTCTGTGGCTTCAACAAGCACATGGGGTGGGGACGAGGCGTGGTTGGGGCAGTTACCACCGGCACCATGGGACCATCTCTGAATGGCTTTTGTCTCCCCAGTTTCTTTGCACTGTGATTGCCATCCTCCTCCACTGCTTCTTCCTCTCCACTTTCGCCTGGCTCTTCGTCCAGGGCCTCCACATCTACCGCATGCAGACGGAAGCTCGCAACGTCAACTTCGGGGCCATGCGCTTCTACTACGCCATCGGCTGGGGGGTGCCCGCCATCATCACCGGTACGAGCTGCTCATCCTGCAGCCAGCAGTGCTCAGCAGCCTCCTGACCCCCTGATGCTGCCCCACTCACTTAACCCATAGGGAGAGCTGAGGGTTGGCTTGCCACAGCCAGCAGTGCTGTGGTGCTTAGCTGGGGACCACATACCAAGGGCTGTTGTCTTGCCAATAGGGACAAGTAGTTCCTCAGCGCTTCTCCCCATGGCTTCTTCGGTGGGCATGGGGCTCCTGTGGTTGCAGGGTTTGTGTTACAGTCTCCTGGCTGCCCAAGCCTGTGTGCTTGGGTGACCTGTTGCTGGCAGTGAATGCCCATGGGCTGGGCAGAGAGAGCCCTTTGGGGCTTTCAGTGATGGGATGAGACACGGCTTGGACAAGTCCAAGGCTGCTGGATGTGCACCTGACCTCTCCCATCCTCCCACAGGGCTGGCTGTTGGCCTGGATCCCGAGGGCTACGGGAACCCTGACTTCTGCTGGATTTCCGTTCATGATAAGCTGGTCTGGAGCTTTGCAGGCCCCATTACTGTCGTCATTGTGGTAAAACCCTGTCCTGTTTCCCCCACAGCCCTCTCCTGCCTCCTTTCTGCACACCACAGGCACTCACCCCTTCCTTGGCTGCCCACTGCCTGCCCTGTTCTCTGTACAGCCCTTCCTCAGCCAGGGCCCTTGCTCTGTCCCTCCTCACTCCAGTCAAACCCAGGGGAGGCCATGGCTCAGGCGTGAAGGGGAAAGGAGGGGACACTCCCATGGGCCTGGCAGAGCTGGGGTCTGCCCATGCTCTGTGCTGGGGATGTCAGGTCAGAGCCAGCCCTTGGCACTGCTTCTAATCAGTGCCAACACTTTCAGATGAATGGGGTCATGTTCCTGCTTGTGGCCAAGATGTCCTGTTCCCCTGGCCAAAAGGAGACCAAGAAGAAGTCGGTTCTGTGAGTATCAGTGGCCCAGCTCCCAGCAGAGCTCCTGTGGCTCATGGTTTTTAGCAGTTTCAGTGACCATCCTCCTCCTTCCACCATCGCAGAGGGCCCCTCTGTGCATCAGTGTCAGCCTTGCAGCCACCCTCCTCTCCCACACCTCCCAGCCACATTAACCCTTCCTAAACTTTGTTCTTTCCTCTTGTTCCTAAGTCCCCATCTCCACACTGTCCCACCAGCCTGTCCCCTTCACTGTGTCTGCTTGGATTCAACACTGCCCTCACCAACTCTCAGCCCATGCTTCTTCCTCTCCTACATGCTCCTTCTGAGACCTGTCCCTGCTCCCTCCTGGGCCAGCCCTGGAGCTTGGCTCCACTCTTTGTGCCTTCAAATGACCTGTGTTGTTTGGGGCCTTGTGTTTGCCATGTGTGACCCAGTCTGGTCTGGGAGCAGGGGGGAGCTGAGCTGCTATGCAGGGATGTTCCCCTCTGGATCTCTGTCTGTGAGCTCTAAATGTAGATTAACAATACGCACTAACCTCTTGGTGTGTGCCTGTCTGTCTGTCTCTCTCTCTCCAGCATGACGTTACGGAGCTCCTTTGTTCTGCTTCTAGTTATTAGCACTACCTGGCTCTTTGGCCTCTTGGCTGTCAACAACAGTGTCCTGGCTTTCCACTACCTCTACACTGTCCTCTGCAGCCTCCAGGTAACTGCCCAGCCTCTGCCAGGGGAGGGCTTGGCTCAGCCCGGGAGAGCACTGCCATCGGTGGAGAGCAGGGTCCTTGTCCCTCCACTGTCACCCCTGCAGCAGTAGGTGACTCTGCTGCTCCTCACTGCTGTGCCCATGGTGAGCATGCCATGAGCTGGAGGTGGCTGCAAGGTGCATGGTTCAGAGGTGACATTCAAGGGGCAGCAAGGACCATCTTTGAAGGGAAGGGGCTTCCACACTCTCCAAGGGTAGAGCAAGAGAACAGCCTCAAGTGGAGGTGTTGGACACCCCAGATACGACCCACGGCAGCATCCCACAGACCTCCTGCCACCGCTATGGCTGGTGTTGCTGCAGGGGACACTGCCAGGGGCTCCTTGGCCGCTGCCAGCCAGGACTCCCCAGCCTGTCCTCCCTCACCCCTGCCCACTGCGGAGGCACTGGGGAGCGATTTGGTGCATCCCAGGCCTGGTGCCCACCATGGCTGAGGTGCTGGACCCTGGAGGAGGCAGGGCCCATCCCGGTGCTGGCGCTGTGGGTTGGCTGGCAGCGAGGGGCTGCCTCATGGCATGTCTCCCGCAGGGGCTGGCCGTGCTGGTCCTGTTCTGCGTGCTGAACGAGGAGGTGCGGGAGGCCTGGAAGCTGGCGTGCCTCAGCAAGAAGGGGCACAGCGAGGAGGCCACGAGGAGCACGCAGGTAGGCGACAGCAGGAGCAGCCCAGGGGCTGGGGACAGGCTACCTGTGCCAGCTTCCCGGGATGCCGCCGCACCTCCCTCACAGGGCACGTGCCCTGTCTCCTCTCCCTGCCTCGCCAGGGCCCCAGTGCCTACAACAACACAGCGCTGTTCGAGGAGAGCGGGCTCATCCGCATCACCCTGGGGGCCTCCACCATCTCCTCGGTGAGCAGCGTGCGCTCGGCCCGCACCCACTCCAGCCAGCGCGCATACCTCAGGTAGGGACCACGGCGCCGGCAGAGCCGGGCTCTGGGTGCCAGGGGGAGCGCATGGGCAGAGCCGCTGTGACCCTTTGGCCTCCTGCTTTTCAGAGACAATGTGACGGCCCGGCAGGGCTCTGCTCTGGATCACAGCTTGTTGGCTCACGCCGGCCCCACAGACATTGATGTGGCCATGTTCCACCGCGATGCTGGGGGAGGTAAGGTTCAGCCTCATGCCTGCGTGGTGGCGGTGTGGTTACCTCCTTCACCCTGTGTTCAGTGGTGACTTCCAGATGCGCTCTGGGTAGGAGAGAGAGGCAGTTACCGTGCTGCTTTAGCACAGTCTCCTCCCAGGCAGATGCAAAGGGCAGCCCCAAGGAGCTAGAAATGGAGGAGGCAGAAGACAGAGGCTGTTGTGAGGCTGCTGGGGATGCTGAGCTCCACAGCACAGCACATTTGACTCAGTGGGGTGAGGCCACTGAATGGGTCATGAGACAGGCGAGCAGAGGCGGAGGGAGGTGGGTTTGCTCAGCCTGAAGGAAGAGGAGGCAAAGGGGATCTTATGGATGTTTGGAGCTGCCATAGGAGGAGGTACAGCGAGGCAGAGAGGGGCTGCTCTCAAGTAGGAGCAGCAGGCACAGGGGAGGTCAATGGGGCTCAGGCAGGCTGGGTCCTTGTGAGTGTTCTGCCTTCCTGGCCCCGCCACCAGGACCCTCTCCCACCGTAACCCCAAATGTCCCCCACCGCGGTGTCCCTGCAGACCAGGACTCGGACTCGGACAGTGACCTGTCCCTGGACGAGGAGCGCAGCCTCTCCATCCCGTCCTCAGAGAGCGAGGAGAACGTGCGCCTGCGGGGCCGCTTCCAGCGCGGGGCAAAGCGCACAGCACACAGCGAGCGGCTCCTCACTCACCCCGCCAACACCGCGCCCAAAGGCAGGTCCCGGGGCTCCGGTGGGAAGGGCTGAGCTCAGGCTTTGGGGCCTGGCTGTGTCCTGTGGTGCCTTCGAGTGCTGCTCACACGTTCTCTTCCTCTTCCCCTTCTGCTGTGTCCTTCGCCAGATGTGGACGGCAACGAGCTCACATCGTACTGGCCAGCTCTGGGGGAGTGCGAGGTGCATCCTTGCTCCCTGCAGAAGTGGGGCTCTGAGCGGAAGCTGGGATTTGACATCAACAAGGATGCAGCCAACAATAATCAGCCAGACCTGGCCTTGACCAGCGGGGATGAAAACTCCCTCACCCAGACCCAACGGCAAAGGAAAGGTAACAGCCTGGAGCAAATGGGCAAGGGTGGCCTTGCCTGTATCAGGTGGATGTGGTCCTGAAGGCTCAGCATCAGATCCACCTTGTCATGGAACAGGGTGCCCAGAGAAGCTGTGGCTGCCCCATCCCTGGCACTGTTCAAGCCCAGGTTGAACACAGGCCCTTGAGCAGCCTGCTCTAGTGGAAGGTGTCCCTGCCTGTGGCAGGGGTTGGAACTGAATGAGCTTTAAGGCCCCTTCCAACACAACCTGTGCTGTGATTCTATGATACCCTTGGGGAGGTATGGGTTATCTCCCCCAGCTTTTGTGCTCTTCTCACCGCTGGCCAAAGTTTGACTTCTCTTTCTGTCCGGTGCAGGGATTTTGAAGAACCGGCTCCAGTGCCCTCCTCCTCTGCAAGGGCTGCCCTCCGTCGGCAGGATGACCAACGAGCTGACGTGGTACAAGACCTCCACGCTGGGCCACAGGGCTGTCCCCGCCGCCTCCTATGGCAGGATCTACTCGGGGGCGGGCAGCCTGTCGCAGCCAGCCAGCCGGTACTCATCCCGGGAGCAGCTTGACATGCTCATGAGGAGACAGATGTCCCGGGAGCAGCTGAGCAGGCACAACTCAGGAGAGTGCCTGGAAGCCGTGCCCAGCCGCCGTGGCTCCAGGGAGGAGCTGGACACCATCCCCAGCAGGCACGGCTCTTCTGAGCACCTGGAGAGCGTCCTGAGCAGACACGGGTCCAGGGAGACCTTGGATCTGCTCGCTGCTAGGCCCAGCCAGCGCGACCGTGGGAGCACGCTGCCCCGGAGGCAGGGCTCCAGAGACCACCTGGACACCTTCCCATGCAGATTTGGGTCACGGGAGCAGCTAGACTGTGGGCTGGTCAGAGAGGTGTCTAGAGAGTGGCTAAACACATTGCCAAGCAGGCAGGTGTCCAGAGACAGAATAGACACGTTGCCAAGTCGAGATCCTTCTAGAGAACACTTGGATTTGCTTTCTAGAAGACAGCTTTCAAGGGACCAGCTAGTATCGGCTAGACAAAGTTCAAGGGAGCAGCTGGACTTTCTGTCCAGAAGATGTAATTCCAGAGAGCCTCTGGACACAGTGCCTAGCAGGCATCCCTCGCAGGACAACCTGGGGAGTCTGCCTCGGAGGCAGCTCTCTAGGGACAGCCTAGAGCCGCTGGCCAGGAGGCAGCCTTCTCGAGAGCCCCTGGAGGCCGTGCCCAGCTGACACCCTTCCACGGAACAGTTAGATATCCTTTCCTCCATCCTTGCTTCCTTTAACTCCTCCGTCCTGTCCTCGGTGCAATCTGCCAGCGCGCCTTCGTGCCCGCAGACCACCGCCTCTGCCATGCAGACCTCGACGCCCTCCGCACTGTGCCCCTCGACGCCTCGCTCCACCACCTCCCACAGCATTTCCGAGCTGTCACCAGACTCAGAGTAAGTCTGTCCCTTCCTCGGCCAGGCCTCGGGCATCGCCTGCCTGCCCAGCCTCTTCCCAGAGGGGTGGCTTGGGGGGAGCGGGCGGTCAGTGGTCTCCTGGCCCCGAGCAGTGACCAGGCAGGAGAACCCTCAGGAGCAGCAGCTCTGGGTGCCTGAATTACGGCACAAGCAGACACATCAGTGGCACTGGGGCTGCCGGAGGGGATGGCCCTCGCCTGTGGCTGCTGAAGTCACAGTGAGGGGATGTGTGCAAGGAGAGGAGGAGGGAGCCCAAGTCCTGCAGGAGCCCTGCCTTCCCCAGCCATGTTTCTCCCCAGGAACCCAGTCCCACTCATTTCTTCCCCTCCAGCTCTGCTCCTGCTGGCATCACTCCCATCCCCATCCCTCCTCGGAGCAAGCTGCTCTAGTGGAAGGTGTCCCTGCCCCGGAGCTGGATGAGCTTTAAGGTCCCTTCCAACCCAAACCAGTCTGGGATTCTGATTCCTCTTCCTTGAGCTTAGGGACTTGGAGCCAGTTGTTGCTGCCGCAGTGCAGGAGTGGGTTCTGCCCTGTCCCCATTGACATGGCTGGGAGGCAGCTGGAGCCGGGGGGTGATGCCAAGGCCTAATGCTGCTTTTCTTCCCTCCGAGAAGGATCACGAGGAGCGAGGGGCATTCCTGAGGGCCGGAGCTGAGCATGGGAGAGATGGAAGCCGCAGGGCCCTTTGCCTGGCGCTGCCAGCTGAGGTTTGGTGTCCCACGGGCAGGGGCCAGAACTGGTGGTGCTCAGAGGCCCCAGCCCAGCCCTGCCTGTCCCTGCCCGAGGAGGCCGGGAGCTCCCCACTCTCACCTGCCTGGGGTGATGGGTACAGTGTGAGGGTGCTGGGTGAGGGTGGCATCTCCAGCCCATGCCAGACCCTGTATGTTGGGGGGTGCAGGGGCAGCCCGGGACGTGGGTTGGGGGAGGGTTTTCTACCTTTTTGTATCTTTGTAATCAGAGAGAAGAGAAATTTCTATGGTTATTTTTACGGATGGTCTGTTCCCAGGACCTGGAGTGTTTGTTTCACCAAGAGCCCTTTGCCAGCCTCCCGGGGGTACCAGGGACCGTGATCCCAGAGCACTGGGGGTGCTGTGCAGGGCAGCCCTCCCAGCCCCATGGCAGGGCAGCCACCCGCCTGCCCTGCACCTCCACACGTGTCTTGGTGCCACCCTCCCTGCTGGGGTCCCTCAGCTCCACAGCCAGTCCCCCCCTTGCCCTCCCCTGGGACCCCTCCAGGACTATGGGTCAGTGAGAGTCACAAGTGAGTGCAGCACAGCAGATTCCACATTAGGGACCTGTGTTCTCTGCTGTTTGATCCCATCCTGTACCAGGATGTTCCCACCCCTGCGAGCACTGTCTTTGCTCAGCAGTGAGCACATGGGTTTACTCGCTGTGTGCTGTGCTCTTCAACCTGTGTTGTAGAGCAAACCTCTTGGTTGTGGGTCCCGGTGAGGAGCTGGGTGGCCACAGCCCTGCTCAGCAGTGGGCTGTGGTCCCGAAGCCAGCACTTGCCCATGGGGGAGTGGTAGCCACAGGAGCAGGAGCCCTGGGCTGCGGCATTGCCCACGGGAGCTGTGTAGCGGGTTCCCTGCGGGCTCTGTGTCTGTACCTGCATCCCTGCAGCTGCAGAGGACCCCAGCTCAGAGCACCCAGGTTTTGGCAGGTGATGATGAGCAGCACTTGGCCCTCTCTGGGAACTCGGGGGTTCCTCTGCTCCCGGGTGCCTGGCGCTGCCATGGGCTGACACCGCTCCTGTGCCTGCCCCAGCCCAGCGCAGTGCCCTGCTCCCTGCTCCTCACTGCCTTACAGCCCCTGCTGCCGTGCCACCATCCTCGGCTACCGCCCCGCTCACACGGAGGGGACCCAAGGGCTTGGTGCTCACTGTGCCCCGCTCCCAGGACGGGGCCTGCTGCCATGTTTACATGCTGCTGGGACTGGCGTGCGCAGGGACAGGCTCTGGCCCCTCCGTGCCACCCGGCTTCGCCTTTGGGAGCAAGCTCCCTCCCACGTGCCGCGGTCCTGGGCCCGTGCTGCTGCCGCGCTGGGTCCGGGGCTCTTTGTACTGGTGCCAAACGGGGAGCAAGGGACAAGTGCCAAAAAGAAGCGAGCGGTGGAGCTGGCGGCTGCCCCTGCAGAGGCGGGCTGGGCGAGGAGCAGGAGTCGGTCTGTGGCTTCCTCCCTGATTGTAGTGGTGCTGCCTGGGCTGGGGGAGCATCCTCCTCGGTTTGGGTTTGTTTCCTTGGGGGCTTTGGTTGGTTTTGGTTTCTTTCCTCTGTCCCTCTCCCAGTGCTGTGGGCAGGGAGATGCCTGTGCCCTCCCTCGCCCCAGCTGTGTAAAAGTGTATCATGGAAGCGCCAGATTTGGAAATAAAGGTCTATAAAGTGGTGCTGGGCTCGCTGCCATCTGTCCTGCACCCACACCTGGGGCTGGGGCTCGAGGCGATGCTCGGCGCCGGGGCTTCACTTCACCGGTGCTGCTTGAACCTGGCTGTGCCTGGTGCCGGTGCTGGCTCCGGCTGGCAGCGCCGTGGGGCCGCAGGGCTGTGGTTTGCTGTGGGGCCCAGGCGGGAGCTGCCAGCAGCCGGGTGAGGCCACGGGCACACATCCACTGTCCAGGCAGCGTGGCTCCGGCTGTGCCTGCGGGTGAGGAACAGGAACAGCGCGAGCCTGGTGCCTGCATCCCTGCCCCGCGCTGCTGCTGGGGGGAAGGAGCAGGTGAGCAAAGGGCAGGATTGATCCACGGCGCCTGGGCAAGGGTCGCCGCCGGCCCTCACCCCCGGCCCTCGGCTCTGTCTTTGGCACCGGCCTGAGCCCAACCCAGCCCAGGGCAGCCACAGGGCCCAGGCTCGGAGCTGCCGGAGCCCGAGGCAGGGGGCGAGGTGTGGGGGGTGAGGGGCAGGGAGCAGCAGAGCAGGGTGGGGATGGGAGTGGTGATAAGGAGGCAGTAAATAGCACCCAGATATCGGGTGCTATCGGGCAGAGCCTGTGATGGCCTCCCCGTGCTGCCGGGTGAAGGAGAAGCGATGGGCAGGAAGCAGCCACGTGCCGCTGCCCGGCCACGGTGGGACCATGGGCATGAGAGTGGGATGGCAGAGCCAGGATGCGGGAGCGGGATTGGCCCCACTGATGGCAGACGGAGGGGTCTGTGTGTGGCTGCTGTGATACCCCATCATGCTGTGACCATGGGGAGGAACGAGGTGGCCACGGGTTGTACCCCTCTGGCAGTGATAGGAACAAGTGGCTCCAACCCTGGGGGAGCACGGTCCCGGTGTCACCCTCTGTGCCTGTCCCAGCCCCATCCCGCTGCCCAGGGCACCTGGCACTCCCCAGCTCCCATCCTGCCCCCTGACTTCACCCCATACCTCAGCACCGCTCAGCCCAGCTCTGGTGCCTGCGTTCCCAGTGCCGTGTCCCCAGGGGCATGGGCCAAGCGTGACTCAAATCCTCCACAAGCTGCAGTGGTACCAGGTCACGGTGGAGCCCAGGAAGGTGTGATGGGTTCAGCAGGACTCCGGTGCCCGCTGGGGACCTTTGGAACAAGATAACGGCCGGGTCTGTGTGTGCTGGGGAGAGCGGGGCAGTCCACAGGGCGCAGCACACCCGTTCCTGCAGGTAAGCAGGGCTTGGGGCCCGTGGAGAACACCCCGATGCTGCGGCTGGAGGCTGCGGTGCCCCTCCCTGCCCCGAGCACAGCCCCTGCTCCATGGGGTGGGCAGGGGACACCCGTGGGGGGCACAGGAGGGTGATGGCTGCTCCCAGAGCAGTGCCCCGGGGAGGTGAGTGCTTGGCACCGGGTACCCAGCAGCAGCAGATCCATCCCTGTGCCTGGCACTGGGGCACGGTGGCACCAGCCATGGCTGCAGCCGGGAGCCAGGAGTGGCCAGGGCAGTCCCTGGGATGGGGTGTCCATGGGGACAACGCTGGGCCTGCCCCAGCTGGGGGAGCCACCGCAGCAGCAGGGGCTGAGCCGGGTCTCAGGGCTCAGGCTGGTGCGAATCCATGAGGCAATGGAGCCGGGCTGGCAGCAAGTGGGGACCCCCCCATCAGAGGGCACGGGGCTGGGGTCTGTGCACCCCACAATGGCTCGTGAGGCCGCTTGCCTGTGGGTGAGCATCTCAGGATGCACCCACTGGGTCAGCGTGGGGGCAGCTCCGGGGCTGTGGGTCCGGGCAGGGGCACCTCAGTCCCCCCCATCCCACCCTGTGAGGGGCAGCCCCAGCCCCGCTGCTCCGTGCCCTCAGCTCACCCCAGTGAGTGCAGGGGCTGGGAGGGCACCGGTGGGAGACGGCAGGTCCATGGCACTGGCTGGGGCTGACATTCCTGCTCCCCTCATGTGTAAAGGGACAAAGTCTGCTGGGGCTTTGCTCGGTGGCTGCGCTGCAGCACGCGGAGGGGAAGAGTGGTTGGCACCGAGGTGGGTCCTGCACGGGGAGGTGGAGGGGGAGCCCCCCCTGCAGCCCAGCTGAGCAGTGGGGCTGGTGTGGGTCAATGGGGCTGGTGTGGGTCAGCAGGGCTGGCACTGGGCAGGATGGGCAGTGCTCACCGCAGGGTCCCATCTCCCCCCGCCTGCGCACTGTCTGCTGCCCCATTCCCAAATCCCGGCACCCCTGACCTCAGGGCCCATCCTGGCTGACGGCCCCATGGGGTGAGCGGGGCTGAGGAGGGGCCGTGGGTGTGTGGGGCAGGGCAGAGCTGAGCTGCCCCTGCTGTCCCACAGCGCTGGCACGTGCAGGGCCGGGTGGCCATGGCGGCAGAGATGGTGCTGAGCCACCGGGCACCCCACGGGGCGCTGAGTGAGGCCGACCTGGAGGAGGTGGCACCGCGGAACCCCCCTGCCAAGCCCTCGATGCGCCGCTGCCTCCACAAGAACAGGTAGGACCGGGGGGATGTGACGGGACCCCAGCACCATGGCCCCTGGGAGCACGGCTCCGGCTCCCCCATCCCAGTGGTGGACACGGTGCGGACACAGGGGTTGGTTCCCCCTAGCCCACACACCCGTGTCCGCACTCATCCTCCTGCCAGGATGGACATGCAGTGGATGGAGATGGGGTCCCACAGAACCTATTGCTCCCCTCACGATGTCCCTGAGCCCTCAGCCTGGCTTTGGCTCTGTCCCCACAGATGCTCGGCCTCCGCCGCCAAGTCCCTGCTGTTCCGCTTCCTGCCTGTGCTGCGCTGGCTGCCGCGGTACCCGGTCAAGGACTGGCTGCTGGGGGACATCACCTCGGGCTTCAGTGTGGGCATCATGCACCTGCCCCAGGGTGAGCGCCGGGCCCAGGCTGCTGGGGTGCTGTGGCTGGGCCAGGATGCGCTGTCCCTCATGTGTGTCCCTGCTGTGTGTTCAGGGCTCGCATACGCGCTGCTGGCTGGGCTGCCCCCCGTCACCGGCCTCTATTCCTCCTTCTACCCCGTCTTCCTCTACTTCTTCTTCGGGACGTCCAGGCACAACTCCGTGGGTAAGCACAGGGATGGTGGGGATGGAGCAAGGATGACAGGGGGCGAGCCTTCATCCATGGCACAGCATGGCCACATCACTGGTTGGAGGGGACCTTTCTCACCTTTACTTTGCCCCTCCAAGAAGGTGGTTGGCCAAACCAGAGCCAAAGCATGATGAGTGCGCTGTGAGCCCAGCCCATGGGCACAGGTACCTGTGGAGCTCAGAGAGCTCCTGGTGCTGACCCTGTGCTCCCTGCTTGCCCCAGGTCCTTTTGCTGTCATCTCCGTCATGATCGGGAGCTTGACGGACTCCTTGCTGCCCAGTGAGAACTTCCTGGAGTCCATCAATGGCAGCAACATGACGGTCAATGAGGAGCGGCGGGATGCTGCACGCGTGGAGCTGGTGGCCACCATCACTGTCCTGACGGGCATTTTCCAGGTCAGGGGCCCCAACCTGGCCGGGAACGGGGCCCATGGTGGCCCAGGGCCATGAGCTGTGGGTCACTTCTGCCTCCTCCCCTCCAGGTGGCCCTGGGCCTCCTGCAGT